CCCAGGCGCCCCTAATACAGAAAATTTCTAATTGGTAATTTCTAATGTGGCAAATATCAATAGGTATAATTAACAGGAACAAATGCTCTTTGGGTCCCCCCAACTCCTGAGAGGCATGCTCCAGATCGCGGCTCTGCGCCCCTCCCCCACAACAAACCACCACCTTCTGTTCCTCAGCACCTGTCACGCGGGCCTCCCAGGTGAGGGAAAGAACAGCAAACACATCGGGCTTTCCATTTCCCAGGCTCTGTCCTAAGCCCTTTGCAAATATTAACTCACTTGATCCTCAGGTAATGCCAGGAGGTGAGCACTATTTATTACCTCCCATTGACAGGCGAAGCACAGAGAGGTTAAGGCACTTGCTGTTGGTCACACAGCTGGGAAGGGGCAGAGCCAGGATCCACCAGCAGCCAAGCTCCAGGCTCTTAGTCGCTGGGCTGTGCTGTCTCCCACGCCAAATTATTAGTTACCGATGCTCACTGGTCCGCGTCGTCTCAAACTACACTTGTGCTTTAATAGCAGTCTTTGATGTCCTGGCTCTGTGGTTCGCAGTCACAGGGGGTACGGCCTCCCGGGGCTGAAACCTAACAAATACACAGCCTGGGGGGTGAACAGCAGAATCTTACTTCCTCCCCATCTGGAGTCTGGAAGTCCGAGATCGGAGTGCGGGCAGGGTAGGCTCCCCCTGACACCTCTCTCTTCGCCAACGGCTGTGTCCAAACCAACCCTGCGCATCAGCACACCAGACCTTCGTTAGGGCCACCCTAACCCACTGTGCCTCATCTCAACTACGTGCCTGCAAAGATCCCCTGTCCAAATAAGGTCACATTCGGAGGTACTGGGGGCTAGGAGGTCCACATGTGCATGGGGAAGGGCGTGCATAATCCGGTCCCTGACAGTATCATACACCACAGCTGTGCTCCTGATATCGCCGAGGGTGTGGGGAAGGTGTCCCCCTAGGGCCGGCCTGCAGACAAGTCTTCGGAAGGGGTATAAGCCCATGCAGGGGCCGGATTGAGTTAGTCCCAGGTTTGCTCTGTGTTTCTCTCTCTTCTCACTCTTCTCCAACCCGGCTGGCAGCAGGGAGGGGACATGAAGACTCTGTTTCTGCAGTGAGCCCTCGTCCTGCCCACCTGGACACAGGGGCAGTGACCTCCCCGGCGCCAACATGGTTTCTCCAGGCAACCCCGTAGAGGCCAGGCGCCGCGGGGAGAGGTCTGTCTCTGACCAAGTACTCCCTAGAGCTCTTTGTGGAAGGGCAGTGCTCATATCCCACTTATGGGGGTAAACTGAGGCACCATGCACTGACTCAGCAGAGGCCATATCGCAGTTTCCTGGGAAGACAGCTTCTGTGTTCTTGGCCCACACAGAGCGGGGTCACCAGGGGAGCCTGGCGCCTTCCACAAAAGCTGTTTTGTAAAAGTAAGATAAAATAACGCGCAGATTTACAGAAGTGAGAGGCTAGGGGTTGATTATCGGCTACTCAGAAGGCCTCCCCGAGAGGTTCGTGTTCAGCTGGAAGGCGCCGCGGGGTGCTGAGTGCCAGGGGCCGGGCCGGCATGCCCTTCCTCTGCTCTGACACGCCTCCCAGTCATGTTTGTTCCTAAAACTTATCACAATGTGCCATTTGATTACACAATACACCGACTGTGGCCATTGGAGTTCTGTTTCTATGAAAACTGAGTCGAATGACTTTAGAAAGATTCCATAACGAGTTTGCCTTAAAAAAAATTGCCACTGTATTAGCTGTGGACAGGACACTTGTAGAAAATAGGGAAAATCATAACTAAAATCTTAGAAGAAAAACCTTTTTAAAAAAAAAGGGATGCCTGCGTGGGTCAGTCAGTTAAGCGTCTGCTTTCGGCTCAGGTCATGATCTCAGGGTCCTGGGATCGAGTCCCGCGTTGGGCTCCCTGCTCGGCGGGGAGCCTGCTTCTCCCTCTCCCTCTGCTGCTCCCCCTGCTTGTGCTCTCTCTCTCCCAAATAAATAAAATCTTTTAAAAAAATCATAAAATGTAGAAATCATAAAAATGTAGAACTCTATGCTAAGATTATATTCTATCTTTAGTTCTCAATCCATTTTATTTTTAAAATTTTCTTATCGAGGTAAAAAATCCATAAAACTAGTCTTATTTGTACAGCTTGTTTAACTACCATGTGATTTAGGCTAGAGAGCATTCCAGAACCCTAGCAAGTTCCCCAGTACCTTTACCAGTGAGTATGTCCCATTGAGTTATTATTCCTATGCATCCTGCTTCAGGGACACCCAACCTGGAAATCCCAGACTGTAACCACAGGTGTGGTTTGCACTAGAAAGGACCGACAGTTCCTGGCAGCGACCCATACTCCAAGAAAAGGCCATGGCCCCACGCTAAAAAGAGAAAAGTGCAAGTGTGCATTGGTATGTCCAAAATCCAAACAAGATATTTCTTTTAAAAAAAGCATTCCTGGGCGCCTGGGTGGCTCAGTTGGTTAAGCGACTGCCTTCGGCTCAGGTCGTGATCCTGGAGTCCCGGGATCGAGTCCCGCATC